CACTTACCAGTCACAGTAAAAACTATAGGAATTTCTGCCACCCAGGACTTCCTAAGCACACAACTGGAGAATTACACTGGCTCTTGACTTTTCAAATACTACCATGACAATGTAAATAAGATAGGCCTTCCATAGTTTGGGTTTCAGGAACATTATTCTCAACCTACACAATGCTAAGACAGCCGCTTGGATCCAAGAGTGTTTCTGCATCAATGGAACAGAAATTGCTGACAGAACCAGATTGCCCCCCCCCCGCCCCCCGCCCCATGCCTGCAGTTTTTGGAATACACCAAAATCTGATCCAGTGGGGTTATTTGTGAGGCAGTCAAGGTGTGCAGTGAGGAGAAAAGGACCAAGAAGTACAGAACTGATTTCTGTTCTGCTGGTGGAAGGATGCCATTAGATTCAAAGAAGTCTTTGTAAAGTGTGCATCCAGGTATAAATTATGTTTCTGATAGTACATATATGTGGAATTCAGCAGTGCCTCATTTGAAATAAAATAGTAGAGGAATACATAGGAAGTTGCTTCATACTATCAAGTCAGAGCATGCTAACCAGCAGCAATGTCTCCAGGATTTCAGAAAGGAGTCTTTCCTATGCTACCAGAGAATGCCAGGACTGGACCTAGGATTTCCTGGATGCATCTGGTGTATATCATTAACACAATTTTTGTGTGCCTACACATTTGTTCCTTTAAATGTCATATATTCCATTCTTGCCTACCTACATTTGTTTTTACTGTATTCAAACCCATGGTTATTTGCATTATTTCTCAGGAGTTGTGAGATGGTACTATGACAAGTTGTAGAACAAAGCCTCAAAAGCATTCACAGCTGTTCTGAAAGGCAAAACAGATTAGATCAGCAGGGCTTGTATCTAAACCTGCACCAGCATATTCAGTCTCCTTAGAGAAACTGTTGCAGATGTATATAGAGTGACCCTCAGATGGAACCCACCATACTTTTCTCCATATGAAGGTGTCTGCTTACAAGAGGGCAATTTAACAGCTTATGCTAAAATACAGAAGAAAATTAACCAATTCCAAAAATGTTATTTTTGCCTACAGAAGCAAAGCAACTGCTACAGGAACTATTACATCACTGCATGAATTCTTGCACAAGTGTTTACAGAATAAGCTTAGTGGTTATTTTTCTATGTATATTTAGCTTTGGATGCAACCCAAAATATATTCACAATGGTATGGAAAACAATGTGACACCTTTTAACTAGTTTTGTGATCCTGCCTCTCATCTCCCCAAACTAGTCAATAATCTAAATGTAATTCCCATTGTCAAAGATCGAATCAATCTCAAAAACAGAATGAATGAAGTATATTTACTTCATCCATGCTCTACTGTCCATTACTTCAAGGTCATGCTCTCCTTGTGTTCAGAAAAAGAGATTGTTCTTAACAAGACACACATCTCATACAGTTCCAGCTAAGTTTATGCCTACAAATAAACTTTTCAAGGACACTATGAATAGTTAACAGTGCTATGCCTACTGATTTAAGGGTTCCCTTAAACATTATTATTGTTATTTGGGTTTTAATACATAATAAATTCAAAAATTCAAGATTATTTCCCAGCAATAATTACATAACATTTTTCAGGCCTCTTTCACAGGAGATGCTAAGAGTATCTTTTTACATTTACATAGATTTTGTTGAACTTTTGGAAAATAGAAACTTTTGACACAGACCATGAAGAAAGACCCATTTTAACTTCAGACTGTAGTCCTGGAAAATGTTTAGATTTGAATGAACTAATGGAGAAGGCCACTTAACTAGAAGTAGTAAGTACCCTGATTGGCATTTTGCTTGTGCGGGCTTGCACAGCAAAGTAACCTATTTCAAGCATGTTACAGAATAAGTGTCCAAAGCAGCATAATTCAGGTCTGTCTGGTGATCATGTGCAGTAGTGAAAAAATTAAGGAAGGGCTGCAGATCCTCAGGCTGGGACGTCAAATTTGGTCTTCTTGATTTTGTCAAATGTTCATGTCTTATGTTCACCATGTCCTATCTCTTTTCCTCTGACCACCAATTATTGGTTTTCTAGCTTTTGCGCATGTTTCCACAATATTGAAATAGTTCAGTACTTCTCCTATGTTCCATTATCATCAATAAGAGCTTTAAGCAAAAAGGTGCCACTCTATCTTTTTTCTCCCTTGGCCCTACCCACCTCCAGAATACAGCTTCCAAGAGTTTCTCCAAAATGGAATTTGGCCCACAGGCTGAGGGAAGTTGTGCATCTTTGAATTAAGGGTTAAAGTGCATATGTTTAAATAGCAGCTTCAAGGGCAGATAGCAACCAGGAAAGCACCTTCTTTAAACACACAACTGATGCCACATGTAGCTGGGCCTTAAGTATCCTTTTTCAAACAAGAGGAGAAGGGGTGCGGAAAGTCCTCCTGGTCTTGTGGTCTACACGTAATCTGAGGGCCATTGTTCTGGAATTCACTATTACTGCTGGGCATACTGAAACAACTGATGTTTCTGCAATATGGTAGAGTATTAATATTGAACCCTGGATCAATGCAGGTTGGGTGGCAGAGGTTACATAACAGGTTCAACTGGTGGAACATTACCACAGGCTGATTACAAAGCAGTAGCTGGCAAATTTCAAATGATCATATGAATATGACTAAGAAACACAATGATATAGACTGACACCATATAAATGTGTCACATTTCAATAAATGCCTGTAATATACAGGTATTTCATTGACATGCCAAATAGGGCAGAGTTCAGAACAAGGCAGCATTTAAAGCATAAATATTCAAATGCTATATATATACTGCTATATTGCATTGTTACAGTAGTGCTATACATAGCACTGTTTTACAATTTTGTGCATGTACTGGTCAGGTGCATGGGGGTTTGGCTGTGGAGATATTTTTGTTGCACTGTGATAGAATACATACTCCTTGAAGAAAAGACAAGCTCAAGGGAGGCAAATAAAATGGATACAGAACATATAAGAGCCTTCTGAATCTGGCGGCCTCCAGATCAACTGGTCTGGCCATGCTGGATGGGAATAACATAAATTGCAGTCTAATAAGCTGGAGGGTACCACATGTGTTGAACTGTAGTACTGACGGCACTAGAAGAGGATGTGCACTGACTATGGTTGCCAAACAAGGAACATACAAGTATTTTTCATTAAGATTTGCATGGGGAAACAGCAGAAGTTATGGTAAGAGCCAGTGTCATATATTTATGTGAAAGCATTACAACTTTGTGGATTAAGGAGCCTAAAAATTACTGCTCAGGAAAGATACACACAAATAAACAAAAGCCTGTGATGGGGCAGTTGCAGATGTTAAAGAGTGTATGTGTGGATATTACAATAAACGCAGAAGGAGAGTGTAATCTGAGTCACAACTTTCAAGGATTTACACCAAAATAGATTTCAAAAATAAAGCTCAACAAAGAAGAGAAGGCTTCTGCGCACCCAGCACAGTAAACTGAGCACCAGCATCTACTTGTTGAATTACGAAACATGGCTTTCAGGCAACAGAACATTGCTACAAAGCAAACTCGCATCCTTACAGGTCTCTTATTTTGAAAAATCAACTGACACTGTGAAAGTGTATGCAAAAGTGGTTTGTACACAGAGAAGATGTAGATGGAGGCTACGGTATTTGGGACCAGGATAAGTCAAACTTATGATGTACATTCATGAGAAATTAGTTCTTCCTATGAGGCAGCAGGAACATATGTAATCACTGGAATAAAAGACACAAAAGGCTTGCCTTATTTTCCAAGCACAGAGGAAAGCAGAAATCAGCAAACAGCAGGTAAAGTTAGGGTCCAAGTAGATGCCACAGTAGCAGATCAGCATGTCAGAAAAATCAAGTGACTGCCAAAGTTGTGTGCACACACATGCATGTCACATATATAGTCAGATAGCTATATCCTCCAGTTATTATAGGCTTCTATATGCCAGTGGCTGGGGAACATGAATAAGAGGGTGCTGAGGCACTTCTCTCCCACTTGTGGGCTTCCCACAAGCAGCTGGTTGGCCACTATATGAATAGGAAACTGAACGAGACAGATCCTTGGTCTAGTAAAGCATTGCTCTTGTGTGCTCTTAAACTGCTTCTCAGCAATTTCTTCTTCAAGGTAGAGGGCAGAGATAAACTTGGAGACAAGAAATAGCATGTACTAGAAGCAGCTGTTTTGGAGAAAAGCAGGTGGGAGGGCGGTTGTAGTGGCAAGAGTGTTGGACTGAAGACCTGGAAGATCCAGGTTCTAGTTATCCTGGCCATGGAGCTTACTGGGTGACTCTGGGCAGGTCACTCACTCTCAGCCTAACCTACCTCACAAGGCATTTGTAGTGCAGATAAAATGGGCCTATTTAAGCCTCCTTGAGTTCCTCTCAAGAGGAAAGAAGATGGGGATATAAATGCTAATAATAATAATAATAATTCAATACTACCTCAGCCTAAAAAAACTTTGACTCTACCCCCTCCTGCACATCAATTCAGGCCAGTCTCTATCTAGTTTCGGCCTGACACGGGATGACCCAAACCGGCTATATCACACGTTACGATTATTATTGTTCCTATTCTATCTGTACACGTAAAACCATATATGCACGCGCATCACAGAACTAAGGTTCACTTGTAAAAAAAGAAGCGGGAGAGGCTGACCCTCCTTCCAGATTGTACAGAACTGAGGTGGCAACCTCTGCCCGTTGACAGTCAAGTGGCCTTACGAAACGAGTGCGGGGCAGGGAGATACGCTGGGCACAACCTGGGTCGTGCGGGGAGCAGTCTAGGGGGATGGATCTTGGGGAAACCGACACGGCCCGGGGCCGTCTTTCTGCGGCAGGAGGCGGCTGCGCCCTGCCCGCCTGGAGCCCGCTTGCCAGAGGGCAGCGCTGAGGCTGGAGGAGAGACGCGTCGGGGAACTTCAGGAGCTCGCGCGCGCTCCGCACGGGAGGGCGGCGGCGACCTTTCGTGGCCGCCCGCCGCGTCCCCGCTTCCCTGAACTCACCCTTCGCTGAGGGACTCCGCGTTCTCATCCTCGGCCATGGCAGTGGCGGGGGGGCAGCGCCCCAAAACCGGTCCTGGGGCGGCGGCGGCGGCCGTAGCAGCCGGGAGAGCGGCGAGTGACAGAGCGACCGCAGCAGCGGCGCCTCCGCCAGCCATCACTGGACCCGCCCGACAGGCAGTCGCAGTAGCGCGTCACTCCTCGGCCCCGCCTCGCTCCCTCACCATAGAGCGGCGCAGTCAGAGCGACCGTGGTCAGGCTGGCGTGCTTCATGGGGAAGTGGCGGTTCGCTTGACCGTTGGGGCGGTCCTGTCTGCGGCGTGGCCGTTCTTTCTCCTGCCCGCTGTTTGCCGTATTGTCCATTCCCTACAGCAGCCCTGGTGCCCGCCCAGATGTGCTTTTTTTTTTTTTTAACTCCCAGCATTGCTGAGCATAAACTCTGCTGGGTGGGGCTGAGGAGAGATGAAGTCCAAGGAGCTGTGCAATATGGCATTACTATTAATAGATGTCTAGCTCACCGTCAATAACATTTTTCAGAGCAGATGATGACAGCATTTCAGTACTGCCCATTAGCCAAAGCTCTCTAGGCATGTCACAAGTCAAAGCTTAAAACCACTACTAATATTACTAAAAGCGTGAGCATTGGCTTCAGGGTAAGGAAGCCTAAGGTTTATTTGTTAATATTTCTATGTTATAAGCAGTAGAGCAACGGACTATAAAATTACAGAATCTAGTGAAGAGCTTTAGGATGTGTATATGTATACTGACCATGGACTGCTTGGGAAAATTCTTGAAATCAACTGATGACAGGGATTGCTTCAACATCTGCCATGCTTGGACAGCAGCCAGTGAGCTCCCACTTCTGATGCATTCCCTGGTTCTGCCTAATTTGTTATATTGGCCACAGTCCCAGGTGACAGAATCTAGCCATTCTTCCAGTTGCTCACAATGCCCTCAATATAGCATTGTGTAAAATTGCACAAGATGCTGGAATCAAGCCACCTTTTAAAACTGCTGGCACTACAGTCATAATAAGCCTGCTAGGGTACAGTAACAAAGGAAGGGGCCCACAAGGGAACACAACTCAACCTGACCTGAAGCAACCTGACCCTAATGCAACCTAACTGCAAGCTAGAAGAATTTTGGAACTGTTGTAGATCACACACTGACTATGAGTCAATATTGTGATGCGGCTGCAAAAGGGGCAAATGCTGTTTGGGGCTGCATTAATAGAAGTATCACTTCCAAATCATGTAAAGTTTTCATTCCCCTCTATTCAGTACTGGTTGGGCCACATCATGAGTTCTGTGTCCACTGGGCACCACTATTTAAAGAAAGATATAGACAAGCTAGAAATGGTTCAGAGAAGGGCACCAAGGAAGATAGGGAAACAGAGCCTCAAAACTGGAAACAAAGCCCTGTGACGAGAGATTGAAAGAAGTGGACATGTTTAGCGTGAGAAAAGAAGGCTGAGGGAGATATGTTAGCACGCTACAAGTACTTGAAAGGCTCTCACAAAGAGGAAGGCCAGGATCTCTGCTTGATCATCCCAGAGTGCAAGACATGGAATAATGGGCTCAAGGTACAGGAAACCAGTTTCTGACAGACCATCAGGAAGAACCTACTAACTATCAGGGCAGTATGACAATGGAACCAATGACCTAGGGAGGTTGTGGGCTCTCCTACACTACAGGCATTCAAGATGGAACTGGATAGCCATCTGAGAGGGATGGTTTAACTTGGAGTCCTCCACTGAGCAGAGGTTTGGAACCAACAGTCCTCTTGGCCACTTCCAACTTGACTGTTCTGTGATTCTATGAAATGAATTCTATGAATTCTGTGGAGCCAGCCCTCAAAGCAAATCCATCAATAATCCATTTTCTGCCTCACTAACCTTGCATAGTTGCTGCCATTGTTCCCATGAAGTTTCTTTCTCCTGTCCTCATGAGTGATGTCATCACCCAGGCCAACTGAAAGAAGCTTTTGCAACTGCAACCACCATTCTTCCATACTCAATTCAAAATAATTCAGTTTCAGGAATTATACAGTGGATATACAGTGGATATCTGGGGGTGGGGGAGGGAGGAATCTACTATGTCCAAGTTTCTTGACCAGAATTGATAGAGTTCAACCATCTTCTAACTAAGATATAGAAGTGCGCATGTAACAGATCTGGAAATGTCTCTGCTTTATATTGCAATATCCAGTTGGGAAGTGTGGCCATTTTGTTTGTAAGGCCTTCTATCATCTGCTTTACTTAGAATAAAACTTGAGTTTATAGATCCCAATAGGTGGGTTGAAATGAAGCCGAATCTCATGGAGCAGCCTGATAACAAGCTGTGATTAGAGTTTCCAACAGTTATTTCAAGTATTTGCACAAAGCCTTCTGATTCTTTCTCAACATGGGTGCCTGCTGAATCACACTGTCTTTAGCTGCACCTGGATTAAAAGTGCAAGGTACTTGCTACTGCTTCAAATTCCATTGGAGTCCAAACAGAAGCCAATTTTTTCAAGAGGGAAGGTGAGCAAGTAGATGAATGGGTGGTGGCAACATGGAGACAAGACCGAAATGATGCTCTGTGTAGGTGTCTGCAGCAGCTGCTGGCTGCTACAGTCACTTGGATGCTTCTTGCCACAGAACTGGCGCATGGACTTAAATCACACTGAAATTGCATCTCTTATATTAAAGCTGATTCATCCTGTTAGTGATATAATTATTTCCAGAAGAGCACAACCATTGTCCTTAATAGTAAATACTCTTAAATTACTATGTGTAATTTAGAATCAGTACTGCAATAAGCAAGCAAGCAGTTTTCCTCCACATTTAACTCTGGCACTATTATTTTCTTAAATGACTTTTTTTTGTTTTAAAAATATCACTGGGTGTTCCTCCCACCATTATGGATTCAGAAGATTTGGGCTAGACCCACATAACTCAGAGGCTTACATGCATTCAAAGTAGAGGAGGAGGAGTGGGTTTTTCCCTATCTAACTGGAATATCATGAAAGAGGAGAGGAGGAGGCAGGAATGTTTTTAAGACAGCTCATATCCTGGCCAGTCCAGCCTTCTCCCCTCTCATGAAATGCCCCCTTTCCTTTCCAAGGTCATGTTGGAGAGCAGCTGGTGCAGTTCTTTCCACAGCAGCCACATGGGATGGGGGTGGAGTACGGGATCAGAGCTCCAGTTCCCAGTTTCAAAGATGGCGTACTATCTCTAAACTCACAAATGGAAATCTGAACTATAGGGTCATTCCCTTAGCCTGTTTTGATTTTCTAAACTAAATCTGATTATACTCTCTAGAAAGATAGATGGATGTGTTACAAAGTTCCAGGTATTAAATAAAAAGTATGTACAAACTGCACATAATTTTAATTTCTATTTATATTAGAGATATATCTTTAGCTACATATTAAGACTGTGTTAAAAATCACCCAAGAATGAGCTTTGGATGTATTGATCTTTGTGTCTGTTGTGATAAAACACTCATCCACCAAAAGCACTGGCAATTAATTATATAGATTCAAATTAAATTATAGTGTAACTGAATTAATTTCCACATCAAATGACAAATGTGATGTGTTCCATGGTTGTACATGATACACATTCTAATATGAAGTTAGTATGAAATGTGTATATTTTGATTGGCACAAATGCTCCTTTGTGAGCTTGTAGTTCAGTGGTTGTAATTTGCTATATGTTAAATTTTCACTGTTTGTCTGTTTTGTGGCTCATTAATAATATAGCAATGTGTGTGTGGGGTTGGGGGTTGGGGGAGTAGATCTGCTCTGCTCAAAGCCTTAGGACTGAATCCTGTACTGGAGAGCTGCTGGTTGATGAGCCAAAAAATTTGGCAGAAGGACCACTATTATTTATTTAAAACTTTTCTAGACCATCTTTAACCATGGTCTCAGGATGGTTTAACAATAAGACAAAATAAAATAAAACACAGTGTCCTAATAAAATTTCCAAACAGCAATAAAACGTCTATTAAAACAATCAAATCTTAAAGCATTGGGAAAATAAAAATGTTTTCGCCTGGCACTGAAAAGAATAAAGTGACGGCTATCATCATGAAAGATGCTGGTAAAACACCCAATATATGCTGCCAGAAAGGGCAGTCAGCAGAACAGTGAAACGGAATGGATGTGGGTAAAGCATGATTATGCTGCATCCCGTAACCCTTGAATCCATAGTCATGTTCCCACAAGCAGCACAGCTTTTTTTTTAATTTCCCCCTTTTTTATTTTGTTTAGACAGGAAAAAATCCATAAATACAATCACATCAACAATAATATAACATTACAAGAACACAATAATTAAAAAAGAATAAATGAAATGAAATGAAAGAATAAATGAAAATAAAGAATAAAAAAGAATAAATGAAATAAAAAAGAACAAATGAAAGAATAAATGAAATTGATGGAGACCAATATTGCCATCATACACATACTATAGCAATTAATAATATATAATATACTTCAATTATACCCATATCCCCTCCAGAAATTCATATAATCTTGATTGGGTTTACAGCCTTTGCCTTCTATACTGCTTTTACAAAATCTTCCCAAATTTCATTATATTCATTTGCTTTAATTAACCCTTTTTTGATTTTTATTTCTGTTATCAGTTTATCATTAATTCCATATTTCATTATACCATTCATGCCTTTGCAAAACCCAATTCTGTTTCCACAAGCAGCACAACTTTACACTGAGCCCCAGACCTGGTGCAGGAAATTCCCAAAGGGAATTTGCTGAAAAGACACCCCAGCATTGATAGCTGCTGTTATTGCCAGCCTGGAGTGGCCCATTCACCCAGACCCTACTGACCCCATCTTACCCAGGTCCAAGAGACAGAAAGCTCCCTTTTGCAAGCAGCTGATTGCCGCTTAAGTGAAAGGCCAGGTCACCTGGTGCTGGCATTGCAATGGGGAAGAACCAGCTGAGGCCATCTAGGGACCAAGCACCACAACTTAGCTGCACTTTTTTAGGTGGCTGTAAAATAGGTATCTCCTAGAATCCATCACGACGCTGTAGATAAGCCATAACTGGGCAGTTAGCAGACACAGAAACAAGAGATTCCTCTGAAATCTCCATCCACACAAGGTGAGGAAATGCTGCACTGGGAAAGGAAGCATGTGTGTGTTGGAGGGTTTTTTTCTTCCAGAATAGGTGCCAA